AGAGGATGACATTTGAGTTGGAAGAAATTAAGTTGTACAAAGAAATCTCAAATGATACATCAAAAACAATTCTAGTAGGGCGATATATGACAGCAAACAGAACGGCAGATGAAATTGTGAGGATTTCGACAAAGAGGTATTCAATGCGCAGAGAATCTGTTAAGGAAGAGCAACGAAGGATTGTGGATTTAAGGCTGACATGGACAAAGAGACCTACTCCACCATCCGTACGATCCACTCTGTCATGACGAAGGAGACTGAGCGTTGGAATGGCAGGTTAAAAAGTCATAAAAGGCATAACACTCGAATCGTTCTACATTAACGGGAATGTGTAAACTTTAGGCGCCAGTCAACTGGAATGCGACTGGCACCGTGTAAATGAGCTTTAACCGTAATGCGCCAGTCGACTGGTATACCAGCGACTGGCACCAGTGACTGGCGCCAGCGACTGGCACCGTGTAAATGAGCCTTAAGTGACAAATATTAATTTTCATAGAATTAAATTACTGAGAACTTAGAATTTTCCATTGTGAAATCACAAAATTGTGCGCTTATTGTATTTAATAAATAAAAGAATTGGTGTAATTTTAGTGCATTTACTCTTACACAATTCATCTCCATTAAAAATCTACTTGATGACTGTTTTCAATTGCCCGATGATATGAGCCATTTTTTTTTTTTAAATTAGTGTTACTCTATTTTATAATGAATGTTGATATTTAAGTGTTTGTGTTTAAAAGGTTTGAAAAAATATTGGTTTATGTTAATATTAAATATTAAATCACACAAAATTATGATTTTTAAATACAATAATAAATTATATTAAATATTATTGTTTTTAAACATCAAAGGATCTTTCAATTTGAAATCACCCGGACCATTTTGCTCGAATACATGGCCGTTTTTGAAAATTCATATCTAAAAAGGGACAAGATTTTAAGTTTGAAATTTCATCGGGAAGTGGTACACTGTTAGGTCTACATATGAAAAAATAAAATAAAGTTGAGACTCATTTCATTATTACAGTATTTCTCCACAAAATGTCTCGTTTTATGTTAATTTTAATTTTATTGTCTACATGTTCTTGTTTTATAGTGTTAGATGGTATTTTGTTCATTTTATTATAAAATTGTATTAATTTCAAATAGCGAAATACCAGTCTTTTAAACATTATTGTAACAAGTCTTTATTAGTAACAATAAATTCAAAATAAATAAAAAATAAATATAAATAAAAACCAGTTTAAATAAATCCGAGTACTATCCGTCCTACATACCACGGGTCTCGAAAACTTCGTCGTGCGGCATGGTATATCCGGCGCGCCTGCTATATTCATTAGAAACTTATGACGTTTATTTCAATGGTGAGATTGGTTTTTGTTTATGATGTAATTATGTTGGTATAGAATGTTAAAAACTAATAGAAATATAGCGAAGTCATGGAAACCAACTATCTGATCTTCAATTGATTTCAAACATAAAAAACGACTCTTTTAAGACCCTGATCTTTATTAAAAGGAAATAGTAGTCAAATTTTTTTAATTTTGATGGATTTTTTTTAAAAATAATATAACAGAATAAATTTAACTCCTTTATATTTAGGTATACATAGGACAATCAATATGCTTAAAGTATAATTGTAAATTAGCATTTATTAAGCTTAAAGTGCGCTCATGTATGGTAAAATATACTTTGAACCACAAATCTTACCTATTTCAAGAGTTTCCATTCATTACACTTTTCTAATTCTCATTTTTTAATGAATTATGTATTTTTTTTAGTTGATCCAGGTTTTTTCAAGTAATAGGATTTCCCAGTAGATTGATGTCAGGCAGATGCCTGCAGCTGAAGTTATAATAGAAGTTGGATATTGTGACCCAATTTTTTTTCTTCCGTGAAAATACAGCTTACATATCGAAATACATCACGACCTGTCAGACGAAGGAATACAATTTCATCGAAAATTGGTGCCCCGCCTCCCAAATAAGGGCGGGATTTTCCGGGTGCCAGTTATGTTTTCCAAAGTAGAAAGTTGCCAATCCGCAGAAGAAAGGCGTCGAGGAATTGCCGTGATTGATCTCCTCGTATCCGTCCAAATCGCGGGGGGTGGAGGGAGGGGGTGAGGCCAGTTACATCGAAGTCTCGAACGGGACTATCGATTATCCGTCAGCTCCGACAAATGGAAAAGCTCTCCTCACTCTTCTGTTCTCTGATTAGGAGGCCGAAATGACATTTGTCGGGGAGGAATTTTATTCCGGAGATGGATCGTCAAATTAGAGCGGCAGAGATGGATCGCGGTCATCTGTGTAGGTGCAAGAGATCCCAATTACTCCTTCGTCGGGAAAAGGAGGATTGGATATGCTAATTCTGTAAAAAGAATTGAAGTAATAAGCCGACGTTTCTGGCCTAAATTTGATTTTCCTTATACTTTTAGATACCATTTTTATCAAGGCTTTTACCCTTTCTTTTTGACAAGTTTAATACCTCCAGTGTGTAAAAACATTGTTTTCATTTAACAATATTTTTTCGTTAGAATTAGAGTTTTGTTCATATAGATATGTTTCTTATAAAAAAAAAAAATTAAAATATAAAAGAAATTCAATAATTTCCTTAATTAAATAGAATTGCTGTAAATAAATATCAGATAAATTAATAAAAAAAACTATTGCTAAGGACTAAAGAAAAGTAAATTAGATTGCACAACATAAACAAATTACAAACGATTCCATGGCAACTTACAAGGGCATCCTAATACACTTATAAATGACATAGCCACTACGAAGGAGGAGACTGAAGAGGAGCTGGATGATGGACCTCCTCGCCGAATGTAAATATCACGCAGAGTGGGGTGCCGCTGGCCAGTAATCCTCGTAATGCCTTTCATGAAATTATTTTTTTCCAACTACCTCACATTCACTGGTTGTCATTACCACTATGACAGCTGTAAATAAAAAAATTAAACCAAAAAAAAAAAAAAATTAATTCATAATAACAGATACATATAAAATGAATTACATTTTCATAAAAAAAAAAAATAAAAGTTGCTTATTACGAAAAAACAAAAAAATTATATAAACCAGCATTTTTAAGGTATTGTATTTAAAAATAATATTATTTTATATAATAACTAGTTAGTTGGCTTTCCTGGTAGATATTTCAGGTTTTTTTTGTCATACCTTTTTTATTTAGTTTTTAAAAATATATCAGTTTTCGTAAGTCAATTTTTAATAATTATGAACATACCATAATATTTGTTATGTATTTCTAACTATTTTTTAGTTATATATAAAGTTTTTATATAAAAAAAGTTTATATATATATATATATATATATATATATATATATATATATATATATATATATATATATATATACCATTTTTATCAAGGCTTTTACCCTTTCTTTTTGACAAGTTTAATACCTCCAGTGTGTAAAAACGTTGTTTTCATTTAACAATATTTTTTCGTTAGAATTAGAGTTTTGTTCATATAGATATGTTATAAAAAAAAAAAAAAAAAATGAAATTAAAATATAAAAGAAATTCAATAATTTCTCAAATTAAAGAGAATTGCTGTAAATAAATATCAGATAAATTAATTTAAAAAAAACTATTGCTAAGAACTAAAGAAAAATAAATTAGATTGCACAACATAAAAAATTATAAACTCATTACAAACGATTCCATGACAACTTACAAGGGCATCCTAATACACTTCTTGTATTTGTATATATATATATATATATATATATATATATATATATATATATATATATATATATATATATATACAAATAAAATATCTTAATAAAAACGAATATTAACAATAACTTCTGTGATAAAACCTGTGATAAAAGCAATGCGTCGGCTCTTGTCTCGATCATTGATACTCTGCTAGATCAGGTCTTGAGTGATAATACTTTAATTATTACCCACCACTAATTTTGTTTTATTTGCATGAGATAGTTTAATATCCTTAGATTGATGAATAAATAACAAATTTATAGTTCTAAAATCTGGGTATAAAATATAGAAATATCACACATAGAGTCAATAGGAATAGGAGTGTCCCTTGCCTAAAGGCTAATATAAATCAAACTCATTCCGAACTCTGATTATGATTAATTCTCTTAGCCTTTGCTTCAAGCGGTTGCTGTGTAAGCTGGAAGAATGGGCGGTTGGTTCGTGTGCCAGAAGTATAGCTCTTTAGAAGTGAATTTCTAAAATCCGGGGCTACGAGACTAGCGTGCAGAGAGGAAATTCAATGTAAACTCGCCTGCTCATTGTTGCTAGACAATGCCTTAGTGGCCAGGAATTTCAATTATTAGCACTGTCGGGGGTCTGTCCAAAGAGGTCGCCAGTCCGCTTCCTCTTTCTACAACCTCTTTGCTAAGCTCGTTCTCAAACCTCGTTGTTAGGGTGTCGTGATATTCATTGTAATTTGTCTTAGGCTCAAGAAACAATTATTATCTAGTTTGAGAATCTATGATGTATTCTTGTTTTCAGTATCATTATTTTCAGATTTACTGAAGAAATAAACACTTTTTTTTAAACAAAAAAATAAATACTTTTTTTAAATTTGCTTTACAATTAGAATCTTCAACATTAATATTTATATATTTGTTTTGTAAATAAAAAATCCTCTTGTTTACTAAATCAAAAACTTTTTTTTTTATTAAACTTTACTGTTATGAATTACCAATGCCCTTCTATCAAGACAGCGTGTAATATTATGCAGTTTAACCAATAAAAAAATATATATGTAAAATATCTATAATATAACAATAACTTCTGAGTTAAACCTTGTTTGAAACTGCTATATGGTGTTGACAACAAATTCAGGAAAAAATGGACTCTTTTCTTCGAATTCGATCCTCTTGCGACAGACGGCATGAAACTTCTTTTTATGGAAACGGTTACGTCTCGGATTCGTGCAGAGTCAGCGTAGTAATTTTTAACTTTCACCTCTTAGCGGGAGATTAAGAAGACTGCCTTTCAGCCTGATGATGGTCAAACCAGATAGTGCCACCGTCTGTACGTCTTCGGAAGAACACGAGGCACGTCGGTGTGTCTTCTCTATACATAATTGATCCCCATCTAAAATGGCTACCTTAGATCGGTTCTAGATAGGTTCTGGATCTGTTCAAAATAAGTAACGGATTAAAACGAAGGAAGGTTTGGAATTAAATAAAACGTGATTGATACCATTCATTGGTAATATTTTCTAGTGTAAAATAAATACATTTTAATGAATTAATAATATATTCCATAGTGTTTCTGAATTTATACAAAACCCGATAAAGAAAACCTGTGTCTATATACCAGTCCTCTCTGCAATTAAATTTAATGCACTAGCATCATTCCCGACTAAAAGTTTGTTTTCCTCCGGAGTACTAATACCCAACACTGAACTGCTAGACAGAGAAATATACGACAGAGACTCCTACGAAGAAGGCATGGACCGACGGACCTCCCAGGAATCCGCAGCTATAATCATTTTAAACTGCTCCCTACCCTTTGAAGAATCCACGACGTTCCAGGAACCGATATGGCGCTTAAGAAGGCCGAATTCCTTCTTCGTGGAGGAAGGGTACAGTGGTAGAAAAAAAATGGAAGTAGTTCGCTTATGAGAAGAAAGAATGGAGGAAGAATGTGGGCATCATAAACCGAAATGGCCAAGTTTTTCTTTTCTTCTTTTCTTATCTTCCGGCGTCTTGAAGATGTTCGGTGATGGTCATACGAATTGGCACCGGAATAATTAATATTGAAAAAAGGTAGAGTCTTCGATTCGGAGAAAGCCTTTGGCGGCACTTTGGGGTTCATTAAGGATTCTGTTGCTCTCTTGTTGCGAAAATTAATTAGCAGCTGATAAGCAGATTCTCTTTATTACGCCTGAATCATAAGGAGACTGACCAAGTTTACTATGGAGAATTGTTATGTAATGAAAAGAGCAGTTTTCTGGATGTATTTGAGAATGGAATGTTTCTGTTTCTATTTAATTTCTCAATTCCAATGGTTTCTTGTTATAGATATATTTAAAAAATATTTGATTAAAATTAAATTTCGAGAAATATACGTTTTCATAATAACTCAGATTATTTAAAAATTCATGGCTTCACCACCACAATTTATTAAAAAACGAGATTATTTTAAAGAAAATCTAAGAATAGTGTCGACGAGACTTAGTTTTATGAATGAATATAAAATTTAAAAAAATAGAAGGTCACAATAAATTAAGGAAACGAAGTACCACAATAGAACTTAAATATTATTTGATGCCAACGCCCTTTCGTGGAATAGCCGAAAAAAAAAAAAAAAAAAAACGAAGGAAATCATATGCGGAAAAATATTTACAATTGTTTGATGTTTACCGTCAAAATTTATATACTTCAATTTTTTAGCAAGTGATGGAAAGCACTAAAGATAATTTAGATAAAAATAATAGCAATAAATATAAAATGTTAATTTTCAAGTACATCTAATATAATTTTGCATCAAGAAAATTAACAAAGTTTTGATCGATCGATTAAAAAAAAAAATACATTTTTAATTTATTTTTAATAAGAAAAAAATGTTTCCTACATTTAGTAATACTAACCACATTCTATGTTGGCGTTAGTAAAGTAATTCTTTAAAAGTTTTTCAATTATGTTCTAAATTGTTCACATTTTGCTTTTACATCAACCCAGAAACTAATTTAAAAGTCACTTTATAGGATTTTATTTTTTTTAATGCTTTTAGAAAAAGCATTACAGATATTTTTGTTAGTTTATAGTCTCGAATCTTTTTCGTTGGTCATTCGCCATTTTTCACTATTATTTATACATATAAGTGGCGTCATTTCAAAGGCGGACATCTCTATTTTTAAATAGTTGAGAAAAAAACAATTCTAGTAAACAGTAAAATTGAACATCAAATTATATTTGCAATCTGCAAATTTAATTGCAATGAGCAAATCTGTTGGCAGCATCACAGCATTACATCACATAACTAGGAAATAGATCGATCAGTTCAACAGGTCTCTTGTAGTCATCTGCGTGTTTACTGGAATTTTTCGGAATTGGAATCTGGAAATTTTTAGACTGGAAAGATTAGATTTTTTTTTTTAATATTGGAAGTTTTAGCAGAATCCCACAGTTCTATGCCATAAGTCCAAATTGGTTTGAGTAATACTTTATAGTGGATTAGTTTGTTATTCAATGATAATTTTGAACGTCCGTCAAGTGACATCGATAAAAGACCGTACAGATAGCTTCAATTTAAATCAATTCTGACGATTCGTTTTCGTTATTCAACTTAAACATTCTTAAATAAAGTAATCAGTTACTGCTTGAGTTGACCTTATAAAACGATTTTTTTTTTCTATTTCTGTAAATAAGAGTTGTCTGTCTTTGATATGAAGGCACTCATCTATTCTTTATTCATGTGATAAAAAAGAAATATAAAAAATCCCACGTATACATATATATACACACATGCACATGTATTAAGGCACAGATGTATACATAAATTCTAATTATAGTAAAATAAATAAATAAAACTACAAGTTTAAGAAACATATGATAACAATGATAAGAGAACTGTAACTCTCAACCGATCCTAGACTGATACAGTTACCATATAAATATGTCCTTAGTCCACTAACTATCTAGGAAAGATTAGTCAAATCATCTTAATATCGGATTGTATCTTAATTAATTTATTCAAGATTGATGCTACCTTTTTTATAAAAAATATAATATAATTTTAAAAAATATAATAAAATTTTAAAGAACTATAATAAAATTAAAAAAAATTTTAACTACTCGATACTCAAATTTTATAACTGTAGTTTACTTGTATGCTGTAGTTCAGATTGTATTACTTTTCTCAACTTAAATTAATGAAACAAAACCAAATTTTGTAAATGTTTTTGGAAATCCACTTTAAACATCGTTATTATTGCCAATTTGTATTTTTACATAGTTTTAATTATTCTTAGAGAAATAGTTTTGGGGATAAAAAAGGTGGTGTCTTCGTTAAGGTCCATCACGTTTTGTATATGTAAAATAAAATATGACACGGTCTCTAAAAACAAATTTATATAATAGAGAGTCAAACTGTATATTTAATATACTTCAAGTTTTTCATAGTGATCAAATGAAGGAAAACAAAATCTTATAATTTATAATAAGTTTTATTGGTATATTTTCTATTGGTACGGGAATACTTCGTCTTTCTCTTCAGCATCTAACATCCCTCAGCATTGGATGGGTCTAACAATGAGTGGTTAAAAACAAAAATAAAAAACCTGTAGCATGACAACCCATAAAGGGTTTCACAAAGAGGGAACAGTATTTGGTTAGGAAGTACTGCTTAATGCCAATGGTTAAAAATTTAAAAATATTTATTTTAATTCCTAATATTTTACTTAAGCCCCATTTTACTTTTTTAGCATTCACTAGAGGGTTCAGTTACTGACGTATATATACAATGTGTATATATATATATATATATATATATATATATATATGTATTTATACAAATCCTGAAATATAAATAATTTTTACGTTATAGTTGGAATGGCATGTCTAATACTCTCTAAAAATAATTAGTTATATTTATTTTATAATTTTTTAATTTACCCATATTTTTCATGCTTCTTAGTCATGATAGCAAGATTTTTTTTTTTACTTTTCATTTTTTTAAATGTTAATAACATACAGCTAACCTTGAGATAAAATATGTAAGGAACCGGAGATTGTGTTGTCTTTGGCACAAGGTGTATTGTCAGGACGTGCAGGTGAAAACACAACTGAAGATAGCGGGATGGTGATGTGGGTACACAGAGCTGTTTCCTGCAGTAGGGTTATTGAGTTCTATTTGCAGAGTCGAATCGCTCATCGTCTTCCGATTCATGTTTGTTTATCGTGAGATATTTGTAAACGCTAATAGTCTATTGTGAGACATAAGATCCTTTATAGATGTGTGTTAACCGCTCATATTCCTGTATTGTTTTAATTTATATGGGATTTGATCCGCCTATATTATCTTATACCTTAAATAATAATTAATCATTGTGTATAGGATTTTTACACATAAAAAATGTAAAATACTAGCAATAGATAATAATATATATTCATTTTACTACCTCACAGTTCGATTTATGTTAGTTAACAGGTCGGTGAACGATATCTTATTATGAATCGTTTGCATAGTTAATAATAAAAACACAAAATGTAATCCTTATGTTACAAATAGCAATGTATAACAACTAGCTAGAATATTTTTAACATTCAATTTTTTTTTTTTTTTTTTACTTGTATTCGCCTCTACCCTAGAGGGTCATATGCGGTTTTCCTTAATTTTTATATTTTACTATAGTGATTTGTTTCCAATAAATATTGAAAGAGAATGACGACATTTTCCTCCTTGTCTCCCAAAATATCTTTCAATGTTGCCGATAACTTCAATTTTTGTCTCTTTTTTTTATATTGGGGGCACTCTAATAGTAAATGCTTAACTGTTTGAGGTGTATTGTCACAGTTCTCGCAGGTTGGCGCTTCGAGTCCTTTAAGTAGGTATCCGTGTGTGAAAAGACAGTGTCCGATTCGCATCCGGCACAATATGATTTCTTCTCTTCTCGACCTTCTGAAGCTTGTGGTCCATGTGTTGCATTCGGTTTTTATTTTGGCTAGTTTGGCTCTTTGTATTTTCCATTGGCATTCTCAATTTTTTAAAAGAATTTTTTTTGCTTCATGGATCCAATCTTCAACGGTGATGTGATTTATTGTTGTTATGATTGCTAGCTCTCCCTTTCTCGCCAAATGAGCAACTTGGTCTGTTTTTTCATTATAATATAACAGTAAATTATATAATGATAGATATTATATTATATAATATTTAATATTTCTTTGCATATAGTTCAAGTATTTCATACGTTCATGATTTCTATTTCAGCTTATAAAAAATAAAATAGAAATTTTATTTAATATTTAATGATTAATTAGTTCGAAATAAATGGATTCTCTTGGAAATAATTTATGCTAAAGTTTATTTACATTTTCAAAATTTTTTTTTTTTTTAAATTGAGAAGTACATGAAAATCAGTATGACAATATTACTGCTAGTTAGACATGGGACGTGAAAAATATGCGTATTTTCACTGTTGTAGTAATTTAATGATTATAAATTTTCTCAGTTTGCCAAAAATCCAATCAATAAAAACAAAATTCCTGAAGAAAAATAAATCTTAAACAGACATTAAAAGAATGATTTGTCCTATGATTCCTTTATTTATTTTGGTTTACTATCACTGTTGGCTTTTTTACAATATCACATTTCTTTCTTGATCAAGAACTTCTTCCAGTTTTCTGTTTTTATTTATTTATATTTTAAATTTTATTGCATAAATTGATAATGGGTGATAAATATTCAGGATTTTAAAGGTTTTTATTGGTGCCGACGTTTCAACCCAAGACTTATTCAAGTACTCCGTAAGTATCTTATCAAACGTTACTTTAACTCTATTTTTTGTTTTAACCTATACTACTCCCTTTAGGGCCGTGTTCATTGTACACTACCGCTGACCTGGACGGAAAAGAATATCCGACTATCTT